ACAAACAAACAAATCGACTGATATATTGTAAGATGCAGGCCTAGACATTTAGTTTATTCACATTCGAAAGTCATCAATGGAAATCAAACTGACATTACCATGGAAAGAAACCAGAAATTAATAAAAAGACAATCAACTGCACATATGGTAAAAAGCTCCTTCTCAATCATTGTTTTAATAAATATAATACTTCATTTTGATTAAAAACATCAATCCTTATTAACTTACAGTTGTATTATATTCCTTCTGGCATTTACATAATGAACGGTGGACATGAGTCGAATGATTCGAAATGAACAGATTTGCCTTGAGATACATGTAGGCGATTTCTAATTTCTCAAACAGATAACGGAAGCATTCATTTTTAAAAGAACATCGACGTTTCACCGGTCAATAAACTAAAAAACGTACGATATTATACATGTTATACTGAACATCCCATTTTATCCCGTTTAACCGTACATTTGAAGAGGGAACATGATGACACAAAATGACAAGGTTAGTATCACTGCAATGTATTTGATGTTGGCGGTTCATTTTCACATCTAAATGTAATTTTTATGGAAAGATTTCATTAAATTTATAAAAAAAATGCTTATCAAAAAAGTTGTTTTAATAAATGTTAATTATATTTAAAACGTCTATCACATCAATTGTCAGATTTAAATTTGACATTTAATTTCTAAGAACTGAATATTGATCACAAATGATTAAAAAACACTTGATATAAATCAACTATGCTCGAACAGCTGATTTGGACAGATCATTATAATTTATATCCATCAAAACAGATACATCACTGTTTTCAGACATATAACACTTCCTTGGTCATCAAATATCAGTCCCTATGAACTTACATTGGTACTTGTATACCTTTCTTCGAAAAAAAACCAGGTTCACCCTAAGAAACACGTGGGTTGACTTTCTGATTTGTCAACGTATTACGGAAGCTTATATTATAATAAGACATCGATGTTTAATAGTTAAACCGTATGATTCAGGAGAAGGTCAACACACTAAAAAACATATGATATCATAGTGAACATTTCATTTTTCATAAATCTGAAGAGAGTTCATGATGGCACAAAATTATAAGGTTAGTTTTAATGTATTGATTTTGTTGTTGGCTGTTCATTTTCATGACAGAACTTTGATTACAATTGCAAAAGTGTATCACCACTATGTCTTATTGCAGTACTGTAAGCTTGTGAAGAATTTCCCTTTTTCAATAGTCTAAATTATGAATGATCAACAAACGGTACTTAAAGTTTAGACCATATTTGGACGAAGACTTATTTTAGATGCCTTTGTGATGAGGAGCTATTGCTGTGATAAAAGTACCAACATTTCAAAATATTCCATCCTGTAAATAAATGTAGACTGCAATTGAGAGCTCTGCCCTTTCACTAACTCATTTAAAATCAGAGGAATTTCGTATATATTTATTCCTGTTTATGGCGTTCTAGTATTATATTCACTGCAAGAATGGAGTTCATGATTATATTGCAATGAAAGTATCAAGTTTCTTCAACAATTTAAAAAACAATTCCGATATATTGGTATCCTAACAATAGTGAGAAATATATTTCTCAACATAATGTATTACTTTATTTTTTTCATTTCTGTGGTTACATTTTTACTTCGAAGTGTGTAAAGTTTTATAGATATTCTAAATGTTTAAACAAAAACAAAAAAGATGCAAAAATAACTTTTAAAAAGCCTGCTCTCTGGTGGTAGAAGTCCTTTTGCTTTTTTATAACATTTTTCAAATCTTTAAATAAAGTTTTATTTTGCCGTAACGCACACGGCTATGATAAAAACAAAAGGTTTTTGTATTGTTTGAAGTGATCAGAAGAAAATTTGTTTTACATTTTGGGGGAAATTTCAATACACAAAATGTAGTAGCACTTTCCAAAAATGTGCTTGCTGTAAACGCATTTTCTTCTGAAGGCAAGAAAATCATGATTTTTTTTTACTTTGAAATAATACCAAATTGATTTGTAATCGTTTAACTTGATCATTTAATGACTTTTGATTGCAGAAAATGGTCAGATAATTATGTTGCTACCAATTAATTAATAATGTTTAAATTCCAGAAACACATCTTTCAGTGCACATTGAATTCTTTTTAAACAGCCAAACATATAATTGGGGCTGGTATAGCTATACGGTATGGGTTTGTCTCATGGTTGATGTCGTACGGTTGCTTATAATTGCTTACATCCATTTCAATTAATCTTGGTGGATATTTGTCTCATTAGCAATCATACCATATCTTATATGATCATGTAACCCAATACTTAATTTGCTGAGCAGTATTATGTTGAATGCATTTTAATTCATTGCGTCGATAAATTGCTTTAAAAACTTAAATATCACATACTTTTATGTTCTCTTTTTCAGCTTATATTTATAGTACTGATCGTGGATTTCCTTCCACTATGTGTAAGCTTAGTATTTCAAAATGCTGAAGAAGAACGGCCAAATTTGTTAGTAATTGAAGACGATGCCTGAGGTAAATGCGTTACTAATAAACAGATGTCTTTGAAAATGTATAATTCCTATCAATGTCAGTATTGGTGACTTCAACATACTCATATATTATAAATATTGTACATTTAACATGCTAAAGAAGTAGTATTTCCGCGCCTCTTAATACTCTTAACTAATTATCACTGTTCTGTCGAAAGAAATATAACAAAAACAACAAAACAACAAAAGAACTACCCGTCTTGCTTTGATATAGTACAAAAAACAAAAACAAATGCGGAACCATGTAAACTCTGTATTGCAATTATACATTTTTATAACATATTGATATTTCTATATCATGTATATTGCAATTTACTTTTGTTGCACACTTGTTTTTTTTTTAATTCGGACAACTTTAAAATAAAACAGTAAACCATAAGCAAAATAAAATATACAAAAAGTTTTAAACACTTGTTCATAGTTTCATATTCGGAGCTCCATTAAAAATGATTTTTTATTTGTTTCATGAATTCAAATTTCAAGTGCAATGTGTTTATCAAATACTTGTAATATCGACAACACGTAAAAAAAAGAAAACCACACATAATAATGTCAATACAAAAACTCCAACTGAACACAACACTTTTGGTCGTTGTAATATTACCAGTAAATGCATTGATGTTTTAAACATACCAGTTCTTTGAAAAATATTTTAAACGTGACTGCTGAGCTGATCACAATAGAACATAAGAATATTCTAAACATCACACGTACATGTATGATGCATATAGATTTGAATGTGAAATCTGACACTTGACGATATACATTTATCATCCGTGATACCGGTAACGCCATTCAAGATGACTTAACACAACCAATCTTATGTTTGAACTTTTTTCATCTGGTGTTGAAAGAACACTATACTAAGTAGTTATCAATTATAATCATTGGTAATTTGTATTACATTTACTCATCTTTTATTTCAAAATCCATTGCAGAAACTGGTATAGGAAACGTTTTTGGAAACGGCTTTGGATCTATTTTTTCCCTACTTTTTTTCCAATCTTTGATTACGGTACCTATGATGGCTATGATGGGAATGATGAGTCCTAGTACAACAACTAGTGTCAGTCAGGTAACTTTGACTCCAACAATGCAAGCCTTATCAACAACGCAAACCTCATCAACAACAAATAGTGAGTATTATTGACAAAATCATTTAGCTTATGTTAAGATATAACAAATGTCGGTATTCCCCTCTTGTTACCTTAATATCGCAACGGCCTCGATCTATATGTAGTATGAAGTAGTCCTTCAGTGATGTATGCACCTGTCTGTGATTCATATAGCAACAATTTTCTAGTGCGTCTATCAGAAACATTGAATAACTAAGCTATAGATGTCATAATTACATTGTCAATCTATAATGTTACCAATACATTTGGATGTGTATATCCACCTTTCTTTGAAGCAAGCTTTACTGTGTCTAGAAAAAAAGCACTTTTGTGTTGATATGTCTTTAATTTGTTATGCTTTATGTTGTTTACAGTTGTATACTGTGGTTTTTATATGTTTTCCCCCGTTATACTGCCATGTCATTATGAGTTGGGTTTCAACTTATAAGTTGGAATATTCCTAATGATTGGTTGTAGGTTGCTTAACGTCCAGTGGCAAATATTCCATGCATGTTCAGGACGAACGATACCTTTTGAAAATTTTGCCTCTCTTTTACAATGGCCTACATGTAAATTATTGTTTTAAAATATTCAATTTTTTTTTTTAGTACATTCCAATGGAAGGTAGTGATAAACTGAAAATAAACTCTACTTATTAAACCGAGTTCTTTTTCTTTTTTTCATGAAAAGTATATGTTTGCTGTGTGTTTGTGTGTGGGCGAGGGATGGGGATGGGGGTAGGTGATCGGTTTGGAGGGGACATTTAAGATAGAATATGCATTTTGAACAACTTATTACACAGACAAGACACATTTAATAAAACATCGGTCAATAAATGTTTGGTTATTTGTGTCGTTGATTACGGTCTCATTTACGTTAACACTCCATCCTAGAGTTCTTATATTCATATTTCATCATTTGGTTTTAATCGAAACATAACATGATACATATCGATAATATTACATGTGCACGAACTATTTGTGGACAGAACGTTAATTCAATATTTGCTTACTTTTCCGGAGCACCTGAGATTACCCCGGTTTTTGGTGTTGCACAGTCTTTAATATTATTTATTGTGTTTTGTAGACTGTTGCTTGTTTTTTGCAATTTGTTGTATAAATTAGCTCTTTTTCTCTCTGATGACATGTCTTTGGCAGTTTATTTTCAATTTATGATACCTCCGCCTCTTTTGTAATGCTTTTGCATTTAGAATTATTCAAAACATTGTGTTGAACGTGGTTACTTTATCTTCATTTATGTTTTTCCATTGTTTTAATTCTTTGAACTCCAATGTTGTCATATTTATAGCACCATGTATTCCAACAAATTGCCCTAATGGCTATAAGTTGCTTACTGACCAAAATGCTAGCCCTAATTGTTACCTGTATAGTGGAAATACTGAGAAATCATGGTATAACGCTTGGGTGAGTAATGTTTAAAATAGAAACAATTTAAACTCTTTATTTCGTAACATATTGATATCATATAATTTCAAATAAGTCCATTATTACTTTGTTTTGTAGAAAGAACTTTTCGAAAATTATCCTATGACAATTTTTCTTTTTGCAACGAGACAGAGTACACTGACATCGCGTCTCCTCTTATGCATACGTTACCCCTTATGCAAAGCCATACTTAGTCAAAATGGCACAAGTATGAATCTGACACAATGGTTGACATAACAGATTCAAAGAATATTCTGGTATTTGAATATTTAAAACTATAAGCTAAAGATCTAAATATACCGTAGCGGTAAACAAATACATTGTTGTACGTAATGGTAACCATAACTAAAGTCAACAGAAGTAAACCGCTGTTCAATAGTCATAAACCGATTAACCGAAAACAAATCAAGGGTCACAAAACGAAACCGAGGTTATAAAACGCATGTAGGGGCGATTTAAGTAGCTTATTCCTTGAAACAATCTAATAAAATCAGAGTAGTATGAACATACACGAGAACAACTAATTAATTCTGATGAGTATCCTCCTTAAGAATGACCAAGTTTTATGCTACTGCTAAGATAGGGAATATTGATTATTGGGGTGTTAAAATCATCAAGTTTATGAAAGATTCTAGTTTTAAATCGTTAAAGAAGGCTTCATATCAGAACAAAAAATAGATATGCAGTAGACCTTCTAGTCTCGACAGCTTTTTTTGTTTATCTCAAGTTCACTGAGATAAGTGATAAGATAGGATTTGGGTTATTGAGTAACAAGACAGCATGAACATATGAAAGTTGAGTTAAGAACATTGAAGTTTATTTTTATGTTAACTGAATTGTCTGGGTAATAATAGTAACCAATAACTAAAAAACAATTATTTTTTTCATCGTATAAGCAGAGGTTCAAGTTGAACATATTGTAGATTATAAAGCTTAAGACAAAATAAAAGTCAAATGGTTTTCTTATATGATGCAAAAACAAATTAAAACAGACACACATTCATATTAATATATCATGCTACTTATAAAAATAGGTAGTTGAAATAATGATTCACATTAGAGATGTCTTCTTTTTGCAACATTAGAGGACATGTGCCATGACTCCTGGAGCTTTCCTGTGGAACCCAAACAGTGAGGCGGAAGCCAATTCCGTACAGACTAAACTTATGCTTGGTAAGTTAAGAGTGAAATATCAATGATAATTCTTTATCGATGAAAATATACAGTTGATTGCAGACCAAGCATTACATATAGAATCACGAAAAAAATCACGCGGCATTTACTCGCGTGCACTTCATGTAAACACCGCGTTAACTCTGCGTTTACTCCAAAATTGTAGTAGACATCAAACGTAAATGGGCGTTTCTTTCCACGTTTACCTCCGCGTTAAGGCGAAAGGAGTGCCTTCTAATTTTGTTAATAGTAAACGGGCTTTTTTCCGAGATAACATGAAACAGGTGCGTCTTCTATATTTTTATAAAGTTAAAAGATATAAGAATATGTGGTTTGTGTGCCATCATTTTCAACTGCATGGTGGCTTACAATAAATACTGGCCCAATGTTAGGACAATGACAGGATCAAAATGAAAATGCCAATAACGTTTTCTTATCACAGGATTTATCTCAGATTTGATGTGTTTAAGCTTTTGATTTTACCATTTTAATAGAGAGTTTCCGCTTTGAATTTTCCTCAGAGACCAGTGTTTTTGTGATTTTACTTTTGACATTGAAAAAAGGGAATTATTTAGATGATTCTTTTGATAAAAAGTACTTCCTTAAATGTCTGCAGGAATGAACAGGTTTATCAAAATCGTCATTTTACATGGTATATATAACATGCATAATGTTGATCAACTATATCATTTATAAATTCAGTGGACAATGAATTACGGCAAATATTTTGAAATTAGTGGATTGTCTGAAAACAATGTTTCAAAGATCATATTATGTCGTCTGTTGTATTTCAAGTCTTGTAACATAGCCTACTAGTTAAATCTACAATAATGAGTATTGTTGCAATTGTTAACATATAAAACTTTCTTTTTTTTTGAAATTTTTTAGTTTTTAGTTTTATTTCTAAAAATATTTTTTTAAAGATACTAATCATTTACATTACATAAATAAGCAAGAAAAGGGTATATTTTATTCCACAAATAGTTAACTAGAATAGAAATGGTGTTGTCGGTATTTGTTCGATTCAAAATCCTTTTTTCTATAGAAGTTTTAATTTACATTGATATAAACTACCTTCTGAAGTTACTAACCTTAACATGCTTAATATCATTCTTTTAGAAAACGAGAAATGCTGTGGGTTGGTGGCAAAAAAGACATTAATGGAAAGTTTGTATTTAAAATTGGCAATACTGGATTTGTATTGGATCAGGTACCATTTGGAGGTAACTTAAAATTTAAGATAATTACAATGAATATATATTTATATTACTATGAGCTCTTCTAAATCAACTTGCTGCTATTTTTGTCTTTTATGGTATTCATAACAATTTATATTGGGAACACCATACCACACAGGTGTGGGAAATGTACTGATATGTGTTGGTAATAACATTCAGAAATTATTGCGAGGTTTTTCTTTAATGCGAATTTTGCGACTGGGTAACCATCGCAATAATAAGAACTCGCCGATTTGACACACACAATAGTATGCAGTGTTTCTTTTAATAGTAATAATTCAAATCTTAGTCTTTCCTGTAATTTCTCTATATACTGTAATAGGATTAAAGCGATTATACTATAGCTACTTTCTTTACAGCTTCTGAAGAAAAATGAAATACTGATGAAATTTATACTTAAACGTGTTTTATAACTTTCCACATGTGGAACAGGATCTTCTTACACTGCCGGGGCACCTGATGTCACCCCTTATTTTGTGGGGTTTGTGTTGCTAATTCTTTAGTCGTTAATGTTGTGTTTTGCAAAAAAATGTTTGTCTGTTTTCCTTTTTCGCCATGGCGTTGTAAGTTATTTTCTACTTACGAATTTGATTGTCAATCTGTATCTTTGTAACATGGAAGTAATTTGGACCCCCTCTAAATCAACTTATGGGACCAAAAGCCGCGCCGTTATTCATACATAGATCATAACAATACAGAATATTTGCAATACCAATACAAATTTCCGATAGCAGGATTTTGAAATACGTGACAACTTTTTCATAAAAGTAGAAAATTTATAACGAGGCCTTTGGATTATAATATCAATATAGGCAATATTTTTTCTATAGCATCCTATGAAAAAAAGAGGGTGTTAATGAATTTCACTACATAAGGGTCTTCAACGGTCTGTCGACAATGTCTTCTAATCATACAACTCTTATACTTTTCTCTCATATGAAAAAGGGAGAAGATTCAAAGAGGGCTTTCAAACAGACAACAAACATACAAAGACAAACACCATAAACTTGTTAAGGACAAACATCACTAACATAGTTAACAGTTAAAATCATATAAAAACTATTCATTAATAACTTAATCCCTGATATGAATCGGGTAGATCTGAAGAACGCTGATGGGCAACAAGTTACTGCTTTACATGTGGTACCTACAGGGTCGCAAAAGAAATTAAACATCTGGTCATAATCTGTTTCTGTTATGTCACTTTTTTTAAGACGATGCATTTATTTCTAGTAATGAATCATAGTCATATATACACTCATGATAGATACCAGGATTAAATTTTATATTTACGCCAGACGCGAGTTTCGTTTGTAACGTTCATTTTGATTGGATAACGTCACTAATTTTCATGGTTGATGCTATGAAAACATACGCGCAAGCGCAGACGAGGTATGACAGAAATTTAAATGCATGATTTGACGTGGTTTTCTGTCAGTTACATTAGAATGGAGATAACAATATTGTATTTTAAGCTCAGACGGCATCAATTGGTGATTTGATGGTAGCAAATACCCGTTAACTGGCTACCGCGTCACCAGTTAACTTGATTTGCGATCGATCATCAAATCATCAATTGATGCCGTCGAAGCTTAAAATACAATACAGTTATCTCCTAAATGATAAACTTCGACTTACTGTATATGACGTACAGGGCCAAAAGTTCAAACAAATATGATGATCATTTCGAAACTAGGGTACTTCAAACATCTCTTAGTTCCATATATTGTATTTGAAGTCTATAGATATAGAAAGATGTGGTATGAATGCCAATGAGACAACTCTCCATCCAAGTAACAATTTATAAAAGTATACCATTATAAGTCAAGGTACGGCCTTTAACACGGAGCCTTGGCTCACACCGAACAGCAAGCTATAAAGGGCCCCAAAAATTACTTATGTAAAACCATGCAAACGGGAAAAATAACGGTCTAATCTATATAAAAACGAGAAACACTTATGAAACACATAAACAGACGACAACCACTGAAACTCAGATTCCTAACTTAGGACTTATACCTTTATCAAATACCCCCGTCAGAAGTTGTGGTTTCACAAAATTTAAGCAAACGAGGTATGAATCTTTGGTGTTGATAGATGTTAAAAAATTATAAGATAAATATATGGTCATGAAAATGTGCTATCAGCAAGCAGAAGCACGATATTTAAATTTTCAATCGTTCATGCCTTAGTTGAAAAAAAATCGTAATGTCTTGCTAAAACGATATGTTTAATTTTCGTTATAGGGAAGAGAGCTTTATGTTATGTAGATGATATTACTGTACTGTTAAGTTCAGTCTTATGACACATAAACAAGAAAACACGTTTTTCAGTTTCGTTTTTGTGTCTGTTTGTTTGTTTTAATTTTCTGATCATCCATATTTTACTTTATTTTATTCACAGTTGATAAGTATGAAGTTTTTTTCATGTAACAACAGTTGCAACGAATACTTTTTTTTTGCAGTAAATGCGACAACAAATGCAGGACTACAGACTTTTATTAATACTGATAGTGAATGTTTAGTCCTTTTCATGTTACAACAGTTGCAACTAATACACTTTTTTGCAGTAAATGCGGCAACAAATGCAGGACTACAGACTTTTATTAATACTGATAGTGAATGTTTAGGAATGAGTCCTATCTTTGTTGGGTCTCTGATTTGGTACTGGAGACCAAGAACTTGTTCTGTTACTGCGTCATTCGTTTGCGAATATCCAAGAGTGAGTTTGACTCATATTTTTATTATAGGACTCTTTTCTCGTTGGCAAAAACATGTCTTCTTTAATAAAAGATTATACTCACCGCGGAAAACATCATGATAGGTTATTATCAGATTTGGAACATCTAACGTGTAACAAAAATAAAATTCCCTAGGTAAGGTCAATAACGTAGGCTCATGACGTCATGCACAATTTTGATTTTTGTCTCATTTTTGTCGATGTCAATTTAAAGACATTCTATTACATATTTTTAACTTTTGAAACGCAGATAATATATTAAATAGAAAAGGTGTAGTTACATATCTTGAGCAAATACTAGAAATTGGAGCGTATTATAAACTAAAACAATTGTTATCCTCGGTGAATGCCATATATCTATAAAAATCGCTGTATCGATCCAATCAAAAGTAACTTATCATAATTAATATTTTTTTCATATCATAAAGTTATATATTCTTGTTTTTAATGTTCTGAGAAAATATTATACAATGGTTCAGAAAGTCGTACAACATTTTGGGGTTCTATTACAGAGTTTTCTTATTGATATGACTCGTGTGACGATTTATACATGTACAAATACGTCATTATCAAATACTGAGGCATACGCTTCAGTGGATGCATGTTTGAATTTCAAAATACTGTGGATTCACTTACTTAATTTTCTTGGATAAAGGAACAATTTTCGTGGATATCTGAATTCGTGGTTTGGCCAAGTCCGCAAAAAAACCAAGAGAACATGTGCTTTTCATTGAACCTTTAACTACGTGGTTCATCTGTACCAACGGAAGTTACGAAAATAGGTATGCATGGGTACATTGTTTTTTTGTAGAATTGATGACAACTTGGAATTATCGTGCATATTTGATTTCGTAGTTTTGACATATTCTGTTTGCGTTTTTATGGATATTTTCGTAATCCGTTGAACATTTAAATTCATGGTTTCCCTATGCCAGTAAAATCTACGAAAATTGGTATCCAATGCATAATAATGAATCTACAATCCGTAAGATTAAAAAAAATGTATATTCTAATTAATAACTAGATGAAATTACACGAATACGTACATGTATATTAGAAAAATTCTTTGAAAGTTGCCAAACATTTAACATTATCGACGATACTATTAATTTCAAAAGTAGTTTATCCTTATAACATATGTAAACAATAATTGATTTAATAGATAATTGGAATCATCCATTTTCCTTGTATATCACCTTCTCATGTATTTGAATATGTCTCATTAATATAGTCTTTTCGTTCATTTTATGTAGAAATTATGTGTTTTTTTCGAACATTTTTTTTATTCAAATAATTGTAATTCTTTCCTGTTTATCAAAATATGTGGTGGCTATTTAAAATGTCATTGGATGACAATACTCTTTTAAACTATGTAGATACTTGACTGTAACTAAGGACAAACCGAAATGATAACATCTTCTATTTATCAAATTTAAACATTTTGACAAATGGAAAGTCCTTAATTAAAAGTCTAAATCAAAAGATAAAACATATCAAACGAATGAAGACAAATGTTATATTCCTGATTTAGAACAAGCATGTAGAAAATGGTTGATTAAACCTAGTTTTATTGCTAGCTAAACGTTTCACTTGTATGAAAGTCGCATTTCAGCGTCTGGTGCATAAATTCGGTGCCGAGACTTAAACCGCGACATTTTAAAATTGTGAAAAAAACCTTTTGTGGAATATTCGGTGAAGAATTTTTTTTGTTTTATTTAATTTTACTAATTGTTTGTAGAATATATGGACTAATAATTAATATGTTGTGTATTTTCAGAAGATTTGTCCTTAGATATAATGTACCCTGCCACCGAAGCGCTTCACAAAAAGACGATTGTTTGGTTCATTAAAATCTTTAAACTGACTTATCTATTTCAGTCTGTTTCTGTAATTAGTAACTGATATTCTATAAGTCTCCCTCAAACTAACGTTACGTCTGTAAAGCTTTCAACGAAATATACATCAGATCCGATACATATAGACTGAATATAAACATATTAAAATGTATATATTATACATTGTTTTTAATTTACATTTTATCTTCATATGTGCATCTGCGTAGATGTAAAATAACTTAAGATACATACTAGCTGTGTATATAAATCTTTACAGATATACAGTCTGATGTATAGTTTATATGCATTTCGATCGAAGAACATTTTTGTACTGTTTTTCAGATAGTATAAATAAGAAGATGTGGTATGAGTGTCAATGAGACAACTCTCAATCCAATACAAAATTTGTAAAAGTTAACCGTTATAGGTCAAAGTTAAGTTTATATGCAATGTAATATATCTCAATAAAGATTGCTTGTACTTGAGCAGTTTTGAAATGGATATTTTATTGATGTCTCTTGGTTTCTATCCTCTCGAATGTTTTTTTTTTCTCATTTGAGTCTAGTTATGTTTTTAATAATTATTAGCAGGTCTTTCTATTTGTCCATGATATAGAACAGGATGTTTTTGGCTTTTGAATCTGTGTAACGTTAACCGAATGCTTTTCTTTTTATTGTAACCTCTCAGAATACCGTTTTTGTGTGATTGATCTTCTTAAACATAACTGATTTATTTTTTCAAATTGCTCTTACATCCTCAGGATTTCGAAAAAAAAAAATTAACCTAAGTAATCAGTAGATACCATATGAGAGTTCTTTTCTCTTATGTTTTTGATACGAGCAGTATATGATTATAACTCGTAAACCTTAATTGAAGCATAACTGGATCTTTTCAATTTGAGGTTAATGATCCAGAAAATAGATAATAAGGTCAAGGTGTTTCTAATTATGACTTTAACCTCATATGCTTCTTTTTTTAAACAGACTACAAGTATATATGAATATACATGTATATATTGATATTAAATGACTGAATAATAGCCAATGATAAATCTTACGGGGCGATGGATTATTTAATAATGATACATTACACTACAAAATATAATATGTGACAAGATTAAAAGGGCACAACATCACCACAAATAATGATAATATGAACAAATGTAAAATATTTCCAACAACAGATATCCTTCATCAGTATGATTATGAAGTAAAATGAATCATATCAATCTTGAAATTTTTACAATAAAACAGCTAAAACCGATAATCATAGTTTAGACGCTTGTACAATTCTAAAATTTAAAGCATGACGAAGGTTATATAGTTTTTTACAACAGAGACTGCAAAGATATGCTTTAAATAAAAACAGTAATGTGCGATATGAACTGATACAACTCTAAAATTTCAAAGATGACGACAATTAAGGCGTTACAACAACGATTGCTTGGAAATACATTCCCAATAAACAGCACTGATTAAAGCTGGTATAATATTTTAAATTTGTAATTTAATTTTGACTAAGGTTAAATAATTCAATTACTTTTCGTTTGTTCCTTAACATGTTAAGGCCTGTTCCCAAGTTTTTAAACAAGGGATGTGGGCTCTTACTTCCTTTTTCTTTTGTTCATAGGAGACTCAGTCCCCTGTGTTGAAACACAGAGCCATTATATCAAATCTTTTTTTGTCTGAATCTAGAGGCATATTACCATTGTTTTTAATTTTTAGCAAAAGGTCTAGGCCCTCAATTTCTTTCTGCTGGTTACTTGAGGATCGGTTTCACGTGTTAAAACAGTCAGAAGTAAAATCACAAAAAACTTGACTTCGAGGAAAATTCAAAACGGAAAGTACATAATCAAATGGCAAAATTAAAAGCTCAAACACATCAAACGAATGGATGTTTCTAACTTGGTACAGGCATTTTCTTATGTAGGAATTTGGCATTTTCTTATGTAGATAATGGTGAATTGAACCTGGGTTTAAAGCGCTAAACCTTTTACTTATATGACAGTCGCATCACATTCCATTATATGGACAACGATATGTGAACAAAACAAACAAAATCGATACACTACACTACAAAACATAATATATGACAAGTTTAAAAGGGTACAACATCACCACAAAAAAATAAATATATGAACAAATGTTAAATATTTCGGAAAACAGATATCCTTCATCAGTATGATTATGATGTAAAGTGAGTTGTGTGTCGGATAACACAGGTTGCACTGTACATGTATGTTTGAAAGGTTTTATTCTTGTTTTTATGGTTTGTTTGTTAACTTTTTCGTGAAAACGGTTTTGATACAATAATCAAAAGGTAACGAATGAAATAATTGAATGGTGTATATTTATGGTTTTTCAACTTCGTTTAATCTTAAATATTTTGTTGTATCTTGACTGATGGTTAATTTATATATCATTTGTCTGTATTTCAATTACGTTAAGGGATATATCAACTACATGTTTGTTATGGATTGATTTTATGATATACATTGTACATGTTTGTTTGAAAGGTTTTATTCTTGTTTTTATGGTTCGTTTGTTAGATTTTTTGTGAACACGGTTTTGATAAAATAACCAAAAGGTGAAATGAATTTGATACTTTGAATGACTGTAACGTGTATATCTGTCTGACTGGTTACGTTTTACAGTGACCCCATCTTCGAGGAGTGTTTTGCATTGTTAATTTTGATGGTGAGGTGCGTTTCCTATATACCTTTAGCATAGTCTTACAATGTTGTGGTGTGTATAAGGGATCTCAGGAATACATGCATGTCTGGCTAAAAGTAAAATCACAAATTTTTTTAAATCCGAGGAAAATTTAACAAGGAAAGTCTCTAATCAAATGGCAAAATCGAAAGCTGAAACACAATAAACGAATCGATAACAACTGTCATATTCCTGACTTGGTACATACATTATCTTATGTAGAAAAAGGTGGATTAAACCTGGTTTTATAGCTAGCTAAACCTCTCACTTGTATTGCAGTTGCATCCAATTCCATTACTGTAGATTCATTTATTTTCGTGGGCACCAATTTTCGTGGATTGAGAAAACTATCATGTTCGTTGACATTAATGTTCGTGGTTTTGCCGAAGACTGCATAAGAGCCTATACAACATTTGTCATTCGTTGAACTTTTAATTTCGTGTTTCACCTAAAC